ATACTTGTCATATATATGAGTCTCATAATTTTGATCATAGCAATGTTCCATACATTGAACTATATAAATTCCACAAATTACACACTTTTCAATAATATTACAGCAAAAAACCAATGATGAAATGATTGAGAAACTTCAAAATAATTGTGAAACATTATATTCGTGCCAACTGCTGCCTCACGAGGTGGCAGTGCTGAATGACTTACAGCGCTCCATCGCTCAGTGCCTATAATTTGCTCAACTTCCCAGTGACGGCTCAAGTATGTCACATACAATGTTTTTTTAGTTTCTCGTGATCAGAGACTGTATTTTAACAATATAAGAAGAGAAATTAATATTTTGGAAAGAATTTATTTTCAGTGCAGCACGGGTTTGTCATATTTTAATGTAGATCAGTGCATGCAGTGGTTATGAGATGGTCAACGGTTTGTTGGAAGTGTAGATATTACTGAAAGATCTGCAAAAATTTTGCAAGTGTGTTCACACCATTAACTAATCTGTTGAGGTAGCAGTAAAATCCAAGTGCTCTCTAGAGTGTAGGATGCTTTTATAAAATTAAAAGAAATGTTATCCTTAGTGTCAGTGCTTGCTAGCCCTAAATTTGATAAACCTTTTAAGGGGGCGGTAAATGTGATTTAAATTTTTTTTAACCCTTAAATGGCGCATGGCTATATACCATTTAACACCCACAGGCGCATACCAAAAAAAAAAAAAAAAAAAAAAAAAAAAATTCTTCCTAACCTGTTAATTTGTGTTCACTGATCATGGGAAAAATAATAAAAAAATCGTAAGTCGCATATATTGCTCGCTATAGGGCGGGGAAGTCTGGCAAAAAACAGGAGCTGACTCAGCGTGCGTCCCAGGCGGTCTGTTGATTGCCAGCTGTCAGGCCGGAGTTGCCACAAAGAGATAATTACCTAATTATTTCAATGTCTCTGATTGATTTTTCATAGTTTTTTGCTGTAATATTATTCAATAGTGTGTAGTTTGATATATTTATATAATAAAATGAGTGAATTATCGCTGTACTCATAAATATGGTGTGCATATTGTTGATTCAATTATGTTCATCAATCAGTGAACAAATACTTTGTCGGTTATTACACTATATACACAGGTTATATATAAGTATCTGCATGTTTTGTTCACCATAACGAACCACTAAGTTGCTATTATGAGTCAAAAAGTAACGAGGAGTGACCGCCGTGTACCAGCCAGCCACTCACGCCCTCCCTCAAGTCACCTGACTTACCCACATGTTTTGTTCACCATAACTGTACATCTATGCTTGTATGGTGAGTAAAGGCACAAAGACGTAGGACCTCACACAGCTGATGGCTGCCGCCCTCAAGGCCAGACGCACTAATATTTCTCCTCCAACTATTTGTGGTGTTATTACGCTATATACACACATTATATATAAATATCTACCTGTTTTATTCACCATACTTGTACAAGTAAACTGGTATGGTGCCCAAAGGCTATCGTGGTAACCAGTAAACAACACTGTCATCTGCACGGTGGCGTCGTGCAGACGACGCCACCTCCCTCACCAAAATGGCGGCTCCCAACCTACTCTTGCTGTTTATACCCTCTATACACACGTTATATATAAGTATCTACATTTGTGTTCACCATAGCGAACCACTAAGCTGGTATAGTGAGTGCAGTTAATAAAAGGTGGCCACACACAAGTCAGAAGACATCGCCACTACCCTCCCTCCCACAGCATTACTCCTCCCTCCATGGCACACAGCGCTAAATATCACCACAATCCTGCTATTACCAGAACCCTGGTCAGTTTTATCACAATCAGGGGTCTTCTGTAATAATATCATCGCTACATAATAGCATAAACAAGTATATTATGGCATTTTTAGGCGATGCTGTGGTCACAAGCTGAACAGCAGTGCTATGAGCTCATGCTGCGTGCATCAGGCTTGGTTGCTCACTCAATACTGAGGCCCCTCACACCCGGGAATTTGGCCCACGATTTTTTTAAAAAATGGCGTCTGTTTACAAGAGCCCTGATGAAGGTGTGGTGAACCCTGTGTATCCACGGGCCGTTTAAATCTTGCGTAGTACTCCAAAGCATCACATGATGCGATGCGCAATTTACTGCAAGTCGGTTAAAGCATCATATGATGCGATGCGCAATTGAAGGGTTAATGTCAACTAAACTTTTTTTACTAGTTGCATATAAGAAGGGCTGCAACTATTCTACGTTTCAGTATCACATCCCAAATAGAAAGGGAGATATTTTTTTCCAATGAATTTTACACATTTTCAATATCCTACTTCTACCACAATATTCAAATGACATCATTTCTATGACACTCATATATCATATTAGCATAAAATAAAGGTCTTTTCTAAAAAGGATTATCCAAAATATGTTTAGTTTTACTAATACAAGTAGTCAAAGTCCCCCCCAAAATACATGCCAATATTTCATGTTTGCAAATATTTATAAAATCAATAAATGAACTTAGGAATAAAGTGTTTCATAAATATTGTAGAGACGTCAACTCTACATATAAGGTGTAAATTTCATGTACAGTAAATTGAAAAAAAAATGAAAGAGGAGATTCAATTTTATGTTACTTATAATTAAATGGATCAAACATTCTGCCACCTCTGGTTGAAGTTGACTACAACCAATTTCCTCCAAAATTTGCATCTTTACAGATAGGCATACATTCTGTAAGGTGTATAAGTTTCAAGCAAATCAGCTGATAAAAAAATAGAAAAAAAAAAAATATTTTTTTTTTTTAATAAAAGTAAATATTAAAATACTTTTTTATGTTCTATTGTGATAGCTGTCACGTGGGGGTGGGCGGTCCGGGGCTCTGCTAACACTCGGCTGCTAGGGGCTCAAAAGGCCCAAATACTCAGCCCCTCCGACTCCCTGGATTCACCGGAGTCTCCTTGGTCACACAAGATAGGACCAACAATGCCCACCTCCGCAGGTCTTTGCTTCCACCACAAAGGGGTGCCACTGATTCACCCTGGAAGCCCTCCAGTCAACCACGGGGAAACTGCTGTTAACAGTTCCGGCCTAGACCCGTGGGGGAGTGAAGGAAGACTCAGGCTTACCTATAACCATAACCTCCCTGAGTCTTGCCTGCCAGACAAAAAAAGGTTGCAGGAACTCCTTTCCCGCCTGTCTTCTCTATCTTCCTCTTAGCAAGGTCGCCAGCTGGGTTATTATATCTGCACCCCAGCAATGCAGTTCAGTGGGTGTATCATATATCGTTTGTAGCCAGAAATGTATGCTCATAGAGAAATATCACAAATGGAGGCACACTCAAACACAGTAATAAAATGTGTGGATTTACTGACGCAAATTACATGAACACACACACACAATCACAAGTAATACATGAATATGGAATATGGATGATGAGTCTGGAGATCGTCAGCCTCTTCTTCCACGACCTCCAACTCTCCTTCAACTGGGCAGGAAGACAGGAGTCTCACACTCTCACAGGAGGGCCTCTTCACCACGTCGGCACCTCTTCTTCACTGTCCTGCCATCCATACACACTGTCCTCTCTGACAGTCCTGGACACAAGCTGCATTGCAGCCTATTCTACCATTAAAGCAATAAAGTCTTGCTGCCACATACACAAGTAAATATTGTGGCCTAACTAGCCTACTCATACAAGGGGTAATGGGAGGGAAAAATGATCTACCTTACACTCCTGGCTCACGACGCCTGTCCCTCGATGGTGTGATGGTCCCACGCTTCCTTGGGTCGATCCTCGACGATCCAGGGCGTTCCACAGGTCCTCAGGTGTCGTGAAGCCTTCGCGTCGTCGCCGTTCCAATCCCTGAGGTTCAGCTGCCCCAATCCTGGTTCATCGATGGGCGCTGAGCTAATCACTATTTTTCCCCACACTCGCCTCTCCCACAGGGCGTCGCTCCTTGTCCTAGGCACTGTGTCGTCCTTCCAAGATTCTCAGTGGATGTGACCCCAGTCACAGCTAGCTTGCTCGCCCACCTTCCGGACCTCAACGTCCAGCCAGCGGCGCCGCCCAGCGTCGTCGCCGACTATTTTCCAAGTTTGGGCACTTCTCTGCTCACTGAACTTGGTTCCTCTTTCGCTTCCCAGAAGCGCAAGGTCTCCAATAACTGGGATGACTGCGACAGCCAGCTCAATCCACTGAACAAGGCTTGCAGAGCCTCCAATCCCTGAGAGCCGACCGAGGCGCGTCCTGTCGCTTCCACGGTCAGTACAACTCTCACGTTGGCGCCGCCCGGGGCACTCGGTGACGTCATGGCGGGCCCTGATTTGTCGCCCGCGACCTACGTCGGCCAATCCGCGATCGACATAGTGTCCCTTCCAAAAGGTCACATCTGCCGTAGGGGATACTGTTTCATTTTATATCAGGGCGCCAATTTCTCCTTTATTTACAACTTATAATATAACCTCCTTCCATAAAATGGCAGCCGGTCTGGTCGCCACATATATCATTAGACTCCCTGAACCTCAGAGAATCAGTAGGGAGAGCTGATATGACTCTTTAAGCCGGCAAACGAAAGAAATAGGAGAGGGCACCGTAACATAGCTTAGAGTCATAGACATGATTTCAGTTGACACTTTTGTTTGATGTTAATTTTTGACTATTTTGAAAAAATTTTGACACATAATTCAATATTTTTTCTCCCTTCCTATTTATGCTATGATGCTGAGACTTGGGCCAGTTGAACCAAATTTTATATACAACTAGTCAAAAAAAGTTTGATTGAAATCGAACCATTTTTCATTTATCGCATTTTTCCATAATACGCCCCCATAAATTACGTGTGGATGAGTCAGATTTTGAGGCAGATGCAGTGCTGTTTCAGATTGGTGATCAGGTAGATCACCCAGTATACTATTATTTGTAGTAGACTGGGTGAACAATTTTCACTGAAACAAAGATTTGTTTGTCTTATTGAAAAATTCACATGAAACACAAACATTATGCCCTATCCAGGAATATGATACAGCAAAGACCTAGTATAAAGACTTTTAATTTACTGCTTTCACAGGTAGGCAATTCCATAGGTTTATTACCTTATAGGTGAGAAAAAAATAAAACACGTGATGTCAAAGGTATCAAATTTTGGGGGGATTTTATAGAAGGAAAAATAACTCAAATGGACATTGGAAAAGGAAGATTTCCAATCATCCTGAAAATTTGGATATTCTAGGTCACATGACTATAAATGTGAATGCAATTTAGATAATAAACGGCAGTGAAGTGAAAGTTTGGAGAACCCAAACTCAGGCCTGATTTTTGCATGAACAGCCAAACTTGAATACTGTCATCTCTAATCTGAAAGTTTCTTTATAAAATTATTACTTTTTATTCAGTAATGAATACAGTACTGTATATACAAACAATTTGCAATGAAACAATCTAGCCAATAGTTCTAAGTATCAACAACTGGCAATGAGGAACAAACCCTAAATAAATAATAAAAATAAAACTACAATAAAAAGCCAAGGTTATAGCCCCCAAAAGTTCCTCTGAGCTGCATTTTCATCTTTTTGTTGCTGTCGGATTAAGTCGGCATAAATTCCCCCAAGTTTCTTAAGTTGATTGTGGGTGCCAATCTGTAAGTAAAAAACATTTATTTAATACGTAACAAATGAGTAATATCTAACACTTATTTTTTTAAACTTCTATTGTCAACATCTGAATGAAAAGTAATCCTACCACTATACAGAAAAGAAAATGTCAAAGACATAATATTAAAATTAACCTTACAAAGTGAACACTTAAAGAAGTTGATTTTGCTTAACAGCTGCATTTTTGCAATGTAAGCCTTCATCCCCTAGTACCCCTAAGTTGCTCTGGACTATATGGCCTTCAGCACCCACAGGCACAAAAAAATGACAAATAAATATTTTGTCTTATAACAGTGTTCATTTGTGTTTTCTGATCACAGAAAAAAAAAAAATCATAGGTGGCTTATTTTGGCAACAATAGCGTATCTTGAGGTTATCTTGAGATAATGTTAGGGCGTTAGTGTCCCCGCGGCCCGGTTCTCGACCAGGCCTCCACCCCCAAGAAGCAACCCGTGACAGCTGACTCCCAGGTATCTGTTTACTGCTAGGTAACAGGGGCATCAGGGTGAAGGAAACTCATGAAATGCTTTACTTAACCCTCAAACCGCTAGGGACCCAAATGGAATTCACACCCACAGGCGCAACAAAAAAAAAAAATCCAAAAAATTCTTTCGTCTTATAGAAGTGTTCATTTTTGTTCCCTGATCACGGAAAAAAAAAAATCGTAGGTGGCACATTTTAGCCGCAATAGGGTAGGGAAGTGTGGCAAAAAAGGGGCGTTGGCAGAGCCTTCGCCAGACGAGGTCTACTCCGTCCGAGCTGTCAGACGGCAGTTGCCACAAATATATTATTACCTAATTATTTCAATGTCTCTGATTTTTTCTTAGTTTTTTTGCAGTAATATTATTCCATACAGTGAATTGTGGTATATTTATATTATAATATGTGTGAACCATCGCTGTACTCAAAATTATGGTGTGCATATTAGTGATTCAATTATTATGTTCATAAAACAATAAACAAATAGTTTTGCTGTTGTTACACTATATACACAGGTTATATATAAGTATTTGCATGTTTTGTACACCATAACGAACTACTAAGTTGGTCTTGTGAGTCAAAAAGCAACAAGGAGTGATCGCCAAACACCAGCGAGCCACTCACTGCCACTCCCTCCCTCAACACCACCTCACTCACCCTCATTCACCTACCACAATACTCTTTCTGTATTTATTAACTATACACAGACGTTATATATGCGTATTTACATGTTTTGTTCACCATAACTGTACATCTAAGCTTGTATGGTGAGTAAAGGCCACAAAAACGTAGCTACTAACACAGTCAGCTGATCGGCGGCCGCCCTCAAGGCCAAACGCACTAATGTTTGTCCTCCAACAATATTGTTTGTGGTGTTATTACGCTATATACACACATATATAAGTATCCACCTGTTTTATTCACCATACCTGAACAATGGTAAGCTGGTATGGTGCCCAAAGATCATAGTGGCCATCAGTAAACAACATGCCAAGTCGTGCAGACGACGCTCCTCCCTCACCAAAATGGCGGCTCCCAACCTACTCCTCTCCCTGTTATCTCACACTATACACATATTATATATAAGAATCTACATTTGTGTTCACTATGGCAAACCACTAAGCTGGTATGGTGAGTGCAGTCAATAAATGGTGACCACACACAGTCAGAAAACGACGCCACAACCCTCCCTCCATGGAGCACAGTGCTAAATATCACCACAATCCTGCTATTATCAGAATCCTGGTCAGTTTTATCACAGTCAGGGGGCTTCAGTAATACTATCACTGCTAAATAATAGCAGTATCATTTATATTATGGTATTTGTAGGCGATGCTGTGGTCACAAGCTGAACAGCGGTGCTGTGAGCTCGTGCTGCATGTGCCAGCCTTGGTGGCTTGCTCAATACTGACGCTGTAACACCCAAGAATGAAGAATGTTGGCCTGGATTTTTTTTCTAGGTGGCATCTGGCAACTATCGGTCGTGGCTGTACTATAGCTGCCCCTATCCCAGGCGGGGCGTTTAAATTATAGCGCTAGACACGAAATCATATATAAATGATTCATACATATATAAATGATTCATAGAGCTCTTGATAAAAATGAGTTCCCTGTTGGGTTATTTGTGGACCTGCGTAAGGCTTTTGACACTGTCAACCACCAAAACCTTCTTCTTAAATTACATCATTATGGAGTCAGAGGACACTCCCTGCAATACCTCAAATCCTACCTTACTGACAGGCTCCAGTATGTTTCTGTGAATAATTCAATTTCTCCCACCCTACCCATCAACATTGGTGTTCCTCAGGGCAGCATACTTGGCCCTCTCCTCTTTCTCATCTACATTAATGACCTTCCAAATGCCTCCCAACACCTCAAACCAATTCTATTTGCTGACGACACTACCTTCATTTACTCCAGTCCTGACCCCCTTGCTCTAAATGCCACAGTAAATACTGAGCTAAATAAAGTCCATCTTTGGCTAACTGCCAACAAACTCACCCTTAACATTGACAAAACTTTCTATATTCTGTTTGGCAATAAATCCTCTAATCAAATAAATCTCAAAATAAACAATACCCAAATTTGTAACAATTTAGATGGCAAATTCCTTGGCATTCTCATTGACCACAATCTGAATTTCCAGGGACACATTCTAAATATATCAAAAAAAGTTTCAAAAACTGTTGGCATTCTTTCTAAGATGAGATATTATGTACCCTGCCCTGCCCTGGTGACTCTCTATTACTCCCTCATCTATACATATCTCAACTATGGTATTTGTGCTTGGGGTTCTACTACCCAAAATCATTTACGTCCTCTAATTACTCAACACAAAGCTATTAGGACAATATCCAACTTTGGCCCCAGACATCACTCGGTACCCCTTCTCAAATCTCTGAATATGTTAGATATTAAGTCACTGCACATTCTCTCATGTGTATTATACATATATAAAACGATGAACTGTAATGCCAATCCTGACCTCAAAACCTTCAAAGAAGGTTGTAACAGAACCCATGAGCACCACACCAGAAATAAATACAGTTTTGATATTCCTAGAGTACGACTTAATCAAACTAGAAATGCTCTACAAATAAAGGGACCCAGAATGTGGAATGACCTTCCCAACCCTCAAACCGCTAGGGGCCCAAATGGAATTCACACCCACAGGCGCAACAAAAAATAAAATCCAAAAAATTCTTTCGTCTTATAGAAGTGTTCATTTTTGTTCCCTGATCATGGAAAAAATAACAAAAAAATCGAAGGTGGCATATTTTAGCCACAATAGGGTAGGGAAATGTGGCAAAAAAGGGGCGTTGGCAGAGCCTTCGCCAGACGAGGTCTACTCCGCCCGAGCTGTCAGACGGCAGTTGCCACAAATATATTATTACCTAATTATTTCAATGTCTGATTTTTTCTTAGTTTTTTTGCAGTAATATTATTCCATACAGTGAATTGTGGTATATTTATATTATAAAATGTGTGAACCATCGCTGTACTCAAAATTATGTGTGCATATTAGTGATTCAATTATTATGTTCATAAAACAATAAACAAAAAGTTTTGCTGTTGTTACACTATATACACAGGTTATATATAAGTATCTGCATGTTTTGTACACCATAACGAACTACTAAGTTGGTCTTGTGAGTCAAAAAGCAATGAGGAGTGACCGCCAAACACCAGCGAGCCACTCACTGCCACTCCCTCCCTCAACACCACCTCACTCACCCTCATTCACCCCCACAATACTCTTTCTGTATTTATTCACTATACACAGACGTTATATATATGTATTTACATGTTTTGTTCACCATAACTGTACATCTAAGCTTGTATGTTGAGTAAAGGCACAAAGATGAAGCTACTCACACAGTCAGCTGATCGGCGGCCGCCCTCAAGGCCAGACGCACTAATATTTGTCCTCCAACAATATTGTTTGTGGTGTTATTACGCTATATACACACGTTATATATAAGTATCTACCTGTTTTATTCACCATACCTGAACAAATAAGCTGGTATGGTGCCGAAAGATCATAGTGGCCATCAGTAAATAACATGCCAAGTCGTGCAGACGACGCTCCTCCCTCACCAAAATGGCGGCTCCCAACCTACTCCTCTCGCTGTTATCTCACACTATACACACACGTTATATATAAGTATCTACATTTGTGTTCACCATGGCAAACCACTAAGCTGGTATGGTGAGTGCAGTCAATAAATGGTGACCACACACAGTCAGAAAACGACGCCACAACCCTCCCTCCCACAGCCTTACTCCTCCCTCCATGGAGCACAGCGATAAATATCACCACAATCCTGCTATTATCAGAATCATGGTCAGTTTTATCACAGTCAGGGGGCTTCAGTAATACTATCACTGCTAAATAATAGCAGTATCATTTATATTATGGCATTTGTAGGCGATGATGTGGTCACAAGCTGAACAGCGGTGCTGTGAGCTCGTACTGCGTGCGCCAGCCTTGGTGGCTTGCTCAATACTGACACTGTAACACCCAAGAATGTTGGCCTGGATTTTTTTTCTAGGTGGCATCTGGCAACTATCGGTCGTGGCTGTACTATAGCTGCCCCTATCCCAGGCGGGGCGTTTAAATTATAGCGCTAGACACGAAATCATATATAAATGATGTGCGCGGTTTCGGTTTTGTCACTGATATCATTTATATATGATATGCGCGGTTTGAGGGTTAAAGACTGTACCTCTCTCAACCAGTTTAAGATAAAAACGAAGCTATACCTAATAAATTCCCTGTAACCTACCTTACCCCTCTATTGTCAACCAATGTTTTTTTTTTTTAAATGGCGCTGTTTGTCGACAGAATTGTATTTGTGCTGCTTTTTCAGCCATGTTCCCCCTTTTTTATCTCTTTTTTTTATTTGTTCTCAACTCATTTTATTCTTTATGCTTAATTAGTATTAAGCTTTAGTCATTTAAGTTTTTCATGCCCGAAGCGCTTTGCGTAATAGTGGCTTTAGACA